TATATATATATATATATATATACATATATATATATACACACACACACACATACACATGTATATATATTCAAATTCAAGAACTGCTACTTATTCTGTAGCAGTTCTTGCTGGCTAGCATAGTTCTATCTGACTTGCATTTAGTAAATTAATTTCCAACTTGCATATTTAGTGAATGAAGCATTTGGGCAATTCTGTTTTCAATGAACTACTATTTAAAAGTATATGTTAGGTTGCCAACAAATTATAACATTGAGATGAATCAGTTCTTTTACCTCTCCTCTGATGGGGTCTGGGCTGCTGACAACAGCTGATTCTGCAACCGAAGGGTGCTCCATGAGGGCACTTTCTACCTCAAATGGTCCAATTCGATAACTGGGAAAGCATATGGCAGGAATTTATAAAGGTGAGCAGTAGGTTCACTCCAGAATGCTGATAACCAGTTAACACAGATATATGCACAGATGGAAAAGAAAATTACCCAGAGGATAATATGATATCATCCGATCTTGCAACAAACCACAAATATCCATCTTCATCCATATACCCTCTGTCCCCAGTGATATAGAAGTTGCCTCGTAAAGTTGAAGCTGTTTTTGAAGGATCATTCTGCAAAACAAATAGCATTTTGTTAATATTACTGTGAATATGACTTTTCTGCTCAGTTGGATTTTTAAATGTTCAAGGAAAAAGAAAAGTTTGGCTCTTTTGAGAGTCCTTAGCATGAAGAAGAGCCAGAGTAAGAAATTGACTAATATCTAATGCTGGTAGGGAAAGAGTGAAGTAACACTCAGGGTTAAAAGAGGACCCCAGCACCTGATAATTGAAAGACCAGACAATTTTTTTTGTTGTTGTGTTTTGTTTTACACAAAATCAGTATTGGTTTTATAACTCTGTCATAAGAAGAAAAACGAATATGTATTATGTAAAGTTGCTGGCAAGTAGAATCCAGACCTTTTATTATATCGATACAAAATTTGCTCTAATTTGTATACTGTGATTAGAGATGAAAATAAGCTTGCAAACAGTAAGGAACTTGGAAAACCTCTAGTGAAAGGAATTTACTTAATCCCACTACCCCATTCCCTATCCCTCTCACTCCTCCCAAGAAGGGAGGGCACTAATGAGATTTCAGGAAAATGAGTGGATCCTGTTTGATAGCTGAAAAGATTTATGGATGTTGAGAGAGCACGGGTGTTAGGAGGCTGTCTTCTTTCTTGGGCTTCCTTCCTCTTGCCTCATGGGACTGGAACAGTGATCTAGCCTTGGGCACCAGCGTGCTCTTCTTTAGCAAGCATTTGGGTGTTTCTCCAGTCCTCCATCTGTAGGATTACTATTCAGGACAATGAATCTCTCAAGAAAGGGCCAAGTATCTGTCCTAGGTATGTTTTGTGGCAAATAGGGATCATTACCAAGCACTTTTGAGAAATAAATAGAAAATAAGATATTATTTAATAAGTCTCTTACTACATAGTGAGTAAAAAGGCCAAATGGTCTGTTAGGTAGGGCTTGAATGCCAATATCTCCTTCTTGTCCAGGAGGTAGAACATTGCCATTTACATCTAAAATCTAGGATAAAAGAGAACAATTTATTTAAGGGGATTTTTATTTAATACCACATCCTCATAAATCTTAACTTTGTATGTTTTGTTTTGTTTGCCATTTAAGAATGCAGACTTGGCTGGCTGGTTATCTCAGTTGGGTAGAGCTCAGTGTTATAACACCAAAGTCAAGGGTTCTGATCCCCTTACGGGCCAGCACCAAAAAAGAAAAAAAAAAGAATGCAGACTTCAAAAACACTTTAACTGTACTTTAGATTCCTAAAAGAAATGTGTTTATTTAAATTCTACCATCCAGAAATCATCACATTTTGGAATATCCTTTGAGACAATATAGACATAGGAAAAAATAGGATCACTTCGTAATATACAGCTTTGCAACCTGCTTTTATCATTTAACAATATCTTGATTATTTTTTCCTCTCAGTAAATAAATATCTTCATTATTGGTTTTCAAACTTTGTTTAGCTGTGGAACATATAAAACCTTCCTTCAGAAGCCCAATATAAGTAAACAGGAAAAGGAGAATGTTCTCTGGTTTGAGACAGTGGTGAGTAAGCCAAAGCCTTGTTCTCTTACCCTCTCCCAATCCTCATGGTTCTCTGAAGTGCCTAATAGTAGCTAACATTTATTAAGCACTTACTGCATGCTAAATAATAAATGTTAAAGCTTTAAGTATTTTACATGTATTATTTTCTTTAATCCTTACAACAGCCCTGAATGGTTAGAACTATTATGCCCATTTTACACATGATGAAACTGAGTTGCAAAGAGTTTAGATAACACAGTACATGACTGAGCTGGAATTCAGATCTCAGCAATCAAGCTCCAGATCCTATGCTTTTAATTGTTATACTCCTCTCTGCAATGTCTCTAGGGAGTTTAATACAATTTTTAAAAATCCGGATTAGCATTTCTCGGATTGATTGCTTATTTTGTATGCCAGATTTTGTAATAAATGACTTTGAGCTGTGTCTAGGTTTCAAAACTCCACTTGGCTTTTATGTTCATCCAGGAGATGCCTTAAAACCTGAGGTGTGGCTTGCATGGAGAATAAGTACAATACAAGTTTCCAGAAGGAAAAGGGCTTATGTGCCAAATGAGAAACTTGAAAGGCAAAAGAATTCTAAATGTAAAAACTTCCTTTTAAGCTCTTGCCAGTAAAAAATATAAATTCCCACCCAGTCATCTAAAGAAGTATTTGGCTCCAGGTACCAAGGAATTACTGATGGACAGAAGGTGCATTAAGAGTTTCAATTACTGATCACAGACTACTCTTTAATTAATGGGAAAATAGAATCTTCTATCTCTGTGGAGAATCAAGTTCCTCATTGTTCAAAGGGTCTTAAAATGTTTAAACATGAAAATTATGAACTTGGGCCTTGAAACTGTAAGAATCTGATATCTAGGTGGTTGGAGCATGGATGCCAGAAGGTCATTGGAAATGTTCTTAGCTGAGGAACAGAAGGCCCAGTAATAGCCCTTGGAAAAGAGTTAAAAATGAAAGTAGCAGTGCTGATTGGGGATGCAGACAGAGTACTGTTTTCCTTTCAGCCACATCATTTTTACATTCAAAGATAGCTGCTCCAGAAAAACCACTGGGCTCAAATTAGTGGGGAACTGGTGGGGGTACATTGCAATTGGGATCACTGAGTATAGCTGTGCCTGTAAGACCCTGATAGCCATGTATGCTGGAAGTTGTTATTAAAAAGGAAAGAAAAAGAACACAGGTGTATGGCTGGCCTGTTAGCTCAGTTGGTTAGAGCATGAACGGGACAATATAGGTATTTGCAAAATAATAGAGAACAGTAACTAACATTTCTAACCCATTTCCATCTTTGCATAGAACTTAAAGTATCATGGAAGTAAAAGGAATCATCACCAAAGCAAGCAGTGTGTATGGGGGCAGGTGGGAAACAGACTGAATTGTTAAACATGCTCCCAGAAGGGGATGTGCAAACCTTAACATCGAAAGCAGGAGAAGGCTTTCCCATTGAGCCAGGCTTAATTTTCATTCCCTTAAAATTTCCACAGATTAACACCTAGTTAAGAAGAAGAAAAAGTAAGGTGACATTATAAGTAATTTAAAATTCATTAATTCATCTATCATGCATTCAGTCAACAAATATTTATTGAGAATTTATTATGAACCAGACTCAAAATAAAACAGTCTCTGCTCTCGTGGAGTGTAGAGATTGACAGTATACCAATGTATATAATAAAGTTATAACAATAAATTTATAATTACTAAAATATCCTTGTTTATTAAAACGAGTATATTAGGGCCAGCCTGTGGCTCACTTGGGAGAGTGCGGTACTGATAACCCCAAGGCCATGGGTTCAGATCCCCGTACAGGGATGGAAGGTTTGCTCACTGGGTGAGCGTGATGCTGATAACACCAAGTCAAGGGTTAAGATCCCCTTACCGGTCATCTTTAAAAAAAAAAAAAAACTGATAAAACAAGTATATTAACACTTATACTTGTATTAGCATACTCTTTTGCTTTTCTGTTTAAATAATTTGTCAATTTTTTTTTTTATTTGCTTTTGGTATCTTAATTTTTGACCAGGTAATACATTCTCATGGTTTATAAACTGAACCACTATAAAAAGACACACTGTGAAAAGTTTTTTTCAACCTTTCCCTTGTCTGCTCTCTTCTGCAAAATGACCACTTTTTTTCTTATTTCATTAATTAGAATTTCTTCTTAGTCTTATCTCTATGAGCCTGTAAAGAATGCTTTTTAGAGTATGCTTGCCAAGGAGTTGCCCAGCACACTCCTAGTATTTCAAGTATCAAGGAATTCAGCATTTTCCATTTTGACACAGCCTGTCACATGAGGGTGAAATCTCTCTTTCTGTAGATCTAATAATTTTTCATGTTATAAAAAAAATATTGTAATGTCCTCATCCTGATCAATTAATTGAAGTTTTTCTCTTTGAATGGCTATTTAAACAACTATATCAGCTACAGAGCTTTTTTGTAAGTAGCTTCCCTCAAACTGTTTTCAAACTACTCCACTACTTCCCTGTACCTCAATCATAAGGATATAATGGACACTTTGGTTTTTATTCATCTGACTAAATCGAGTCCAGCCCTGTCTTTTCAGTGAGGTCAGGTACCGTTTCAGTCTGTCCATAACCTTCGTAGATATCCAGGCCTGTCTTATTCCTCCACTGTTCAGTCACTTCAGGGTTGATTGGTTCCCCAGCGCTCACGCAGTGCTTTAAGCTTTTGAACTTACAGCTTCTCAGAAAACAGACAATGAGTTAGATTTAGGAGGAAAAATGGAGAGAAATGGGAATTAGGATTATTTCTAAAGAACTTCAGTATAAAATGTGTTTTAGTACCTTCATTGATTTCCCTCCCCAATACAAAGTAAACCATTCTAACATCATAAAATGACACCCAAAATACCAGTTTTTCTTTGTCTTTTTTCCCCTTTCTTTGGGCAGGGGGGAGGACACAGTAATTTGTTGCAAATGAAAGCCATGCCAGCCTTAGGGAAGGTAACCCATAATATCATTTTAAATCAGCAATTAAAAGTTTACCCGTTAGGGCCGGCCTGTGGCTCACTTGGGAGAGTATGGTGCTGATAACACCAAGGCCACAGGTTCGGATCCCTATATAGGGATGGCCGGTTGGCTCACTTGGGAGAGCGTGGTGCTGACAACACCAAGTCAAGGGTTAAGATCCCCTTACTGTTCATCTTTAAAAAAAAAAAAGTTTACCCATTGTTTGGTTAAACTAACTGTGGGATATTTACACAATGGAACACTATGCAGCTATGAAAAATAATGAGGAAGCTCCTGGACAGTGCTGTCCAATGGAACTTCCTGTCATGATTGCAGTGTTCTATAATCTGCACTACCCACCACAGTATCCACTAGCCCTTTATGAATATTGAGCATTGAAACATGGCTAATACAACTGAGGAACTGAAGTTTTTATTTAATTAAAATTTAAATTTAAATAACTAAATGTGGCTAGTGGCTACCATATTAGACATCATAGTTCCAGGATGCATTGTTAGAAGGAAAAAAGCAAGGTGTGTAACTGTGTATGCATTATGCCACCATTTGTGTTTGTAATTGAGAGGGTGAGGACATATGCATATTGGCTTGCATACTTTTAGGGAGAATAGGTAAGAAACTGGGAACATAGTCTACCTCCATGAAGGAGGAGATCTGGGTGACTAGGGGCAAGGTCTGGAGGAAGACTTTTCTCTATACAGGTTGAGCATCCCTAATCCAAAAATCTGAAATCTGAAACACTCCAAAATTTGAAAATTTTTTTTTTCCTTTTTTTGTCTTTTTTCGTGTCCGGCAACGGATCACAACCCTCAGTGTCGCGCCCGTACCGGACCGGGACCGGCAACGGGATCGCAAACCTCGGTGCTGCGCCCGCACCTCGCTCAGCCAGTGAGCGGGAACCGGTCTGTATGTGGGATCCGAACCCTCGGCGGGAGTGCCAACGCGCTCCCAAGCGGCGCACTGTAGCAATGCGCCACCGGGCCGGCCCCCAAATTTGAAATTTTTGAGCACCAACATGACACTCAAAGGAAGTGCTCATTGGAGCATTTCAGATTTTGGATTTTTGGATTAGGGATGCTCAACCAGTAAATTAATGCAAATATTCCAAAAAAAAAAATCTAAAATCCAAAACACTTCTGGTCCCAAGCATTTCAGATAAGGGATATTCAACCTGCACATTCTTGTATTTCTATTGAATTTTATGACATGTGAATTATTTCCTACTCAAAAATTAAATAAAATCAATCTGAAAATATTTACATGTGATATTGTGACATAACAAGAAATATATATTAGGACTTCCTCCCAGGTTTCTGGCACAGACCTCCTAAAATCCTTGTAATTTCCTAAGTGATAGGGGTGCGAGAATATCTTTTGTTCTAATATTTGGTCTTTACCTCAGTTCCTGACACAGAGTTCCTAAATCCTTTGGAATTTCCTGGGTGATAGGAATATCTTTGTTCTAGTGAGGCAACTCTCAGTGGGTTCTTGGATAGCTTCAGATGGGGGACTAGTCACCAGAAAGACCAAGCCATGATTAGAAGCTCGGAAATTTTAGCCCACCCACCACCCTCCAGGAGGAGAGAGGAGCTGGAGATTGAGTTAATAATCAATCATGCCTATGTGATGAAGCCCCTCCCTCAAATCCCCAGGGTATGGGATTTAGAGAGCTCCACATGCCAGGAGGGTGGTGAACCCCAACTCCACGGGGACCCTTTTGGGCCTCACCCTATAAAGCCCTTCATCTGGCTGTTCATCTGTCTCCCTTGTCACATCTTTTGTAACAAACCAGAAGTTTGTTTTGAGTTCTGTGAGCCATCACAGCAAATTATTGAACCTAATGATGGGTTGTGAGAACCTCCAATTTATAGCCAGTCAGTCAGAAGCACCTGGACTTGCAATTGGCATCTGAAGTGGGGAGCAGTCTTGGGGGACTGAGCCCTTAACCTGTGGAATCTGATGCTAACTTCAGGGAGATAGTGTCAGAATTGAATTAAATTGTAGGACACTCAGCTGATGGCAGAGAATTGGCTGGTGTGGAGAAAAATCCCTCACATATGGAAACCAGAAGTATTCAGTATTGTGAGTATAGAAAAACAGTTTTTTGTTTGTTTTGTTTTTCAAATTACCAATCCACCCTTTCAAATAAGAATTAGTGATAGAGCCCTTGACTTGGTGTTGTCAGCACTACGCTCTCCCAAGTGAGCCAACCGGCCATCCCTATATAGGGATCCGAACCCATGGCCTTGGTGTTATCAACACCACACTCTCCCAACTGAGCCATGGGCCGGCCCTCACATCCCCTTTTCTATTTGCTGGGATAAGTTTCCAAACTGGAGCAACTTCTCTACTTTCTTGGATGACAGTAACAGCCATCACCCAAGGGATTAAATGCCTTCTTACCTATAACCACGGTGCCAAGAACTATAGATGTGGCTGAATCTTTCCTTCACTCTCCTTGCTTAGGGGACCCTGCTCTGGGCATAGTAATTATCATGCCCAGAATGTAAGCAAGAAGAAAGAAGGGGAGGAGATTGCTAACTCCTGTACCTACTAGTCCGGAGCTATGTTTTTAGGCAGAAAGGTCTTTTATTTTATAGCTTCTTCTTCCTCTCCCCTCCCCCCACTAAATGGCCATTTACCAACATTTCTTACCTGGTCATATCCTGTATAAGCATTCGGTATGCGGTTGGTGCTGAGCAGAAGACTGTGATGGGAAAGTTGGAGAGTGTCTGCAATTTAGAAAAAGTAAACTGGTCTTACTACAACTTGAATAAGTGCTTAAATGTCTATGGCAGGCACAGCACAATTTAAACATTGTTTTACTGTAAATACACCCATCCCTTTTCTCTGTATATTTTTTCAGGCTTTTTGACTTACTGGGTGTGAAATATCTTAAATCATGTTATCTACTCTGATCTCTGCAAGTCACTTTATTCACCAGTCCTGTCAGTGATGCTGCTAACACATTTCTAAATGTTGACCTCTTGTGCTCTGCCTTACTTGCAAGATGGAAGTTGGCTCGAAACGGGGCAAATAGTGTGCGAATACACATGCCCCCTGGATCCATGGAGAAAAAACACTGCTCCATGCAGACTTTGCCCAGCCTGTGTCTGAGGTATTCCACATCACATCCGAGGGTATCAAATCCAGCCAGAACCTGGGAAAACAAATAACCCTGATGTATACAGGAAAACACATTTAAAAGATCAGGACATAAATCATCTTTGCAGTTTCGACATTTCAAACTGCAGCTCTGTGGAAGTACCTTCCGTTTACAGACAATCCTAAACCAAAACTGCTGTGGGTGTGTCCGGTCATTTTAGGAGATCCACTTGTTCCACTGGTAAAGAAAATGGCCATCGTTTCATCGTGTTTGGTCTTCACACAGGTGTGGTTGTCACTGACATGTCTGCGAAGGAAAAACTACAGTGATTCTGCACATTAAACACAGTGTCATAGACTCTTACCACTGAAAAGGACTTGAGAAACTATCTACCTGGAACTCTTCCTCTCCTGATTAGGCCCCAGTGACTTAGGTTGAATTCCAAGGTAAAAGCCCTCTCTCTCTTTCTCTGTCCATCTTTGTAGGTGCTTTCTAGAGTCAAACTAAACTTTGCCATCAAAAGCCCATTTACAGGGCCGGCCCCGTGGCCCACTCCAGAGAGTGCGGCGCTGGGTAGCGCCGAGGCCGCAGGTTCGGATCCTATATAGGGATGGACGGTGCGCTCACTGGTTGAGCGTGGTGCAGACCACACCGTGCCAAGGGCTGCGATCCCCTTACCGGTCCAAAAAAAAAAGCCCATTTATAATAGCCAATTTCCTAGCTTTTTACTTTATGATAAAGAAGGATTGAAGCACTTAAAAAAACTTGATAGGAAGAATAAGTTCTGGTGCCCCAGGATGAAAATAGCTATTAAAATTGTATTGTATATTTCAAAATAGCCAGAAAAGAGGATCTTGAATGTTATAACCACAAAGAAATGATAAATGTTTAGGTGATAGGTATGCTAACTATTCTGACTAGATCATTATATATGCATGCATTGAAACAACAAACTGTACCCCATAAATACGTACAATGAAACAATAAATTAAAATTAAAAAAACTAAAACTAAAAATCTCAAGAATTTTATCATAATCAGACAGTGCGAGGATTCTATGATCTTATAGTCATGGATGTATGAAGAATTTCCCCTTCCCCTCCACTGTGGATGCTTTAAAATGTGATTTTTAAAAATAAGTATGTTGGGGCCGGCCCGGTGGCACACTGCTACAGTGCGCCGCTTGAGAGCACGGCAGCGCTCCTGCCGAGGGTTCAGATCCCACATAGAGACCGGTTCCCGCTCACTGGCTGAGCGAGGTGCGGGTGCGACACTGAGGGTTGCGATCCGTTGCGGGACACGAAAAAAGACAAAAAGGAAAAAAATAAAAATAAATAAAAATAAAAATAAGTATGTTAATGCAAGTCATGGCTAGGGCAGGTGTCAGCAAACTACAGCCCACAGGCCAAATCTGGCCGGCCTCCTGTTTCTGCAAATGAAGTTTTATTAGCACAGAGTTATGCCCATTCATTTACATATTATCTGTGGTTTTTTTCACACTACAATGGCTGAGTTGAGTAGCTGTGACAGAGCCTGTATGGCCTGCCAAGACACACATTAGAGCAGCTGAGAGGAGGTAAATTCTGCATGCATATACATGTATGCATGTTCAGTCTATGATTCCTTAAAAATAGTACCTGTAGCTATGTACCTATCACTTCCATCACAGATAAGGCTGCCCTAATAAGGCAGGGTTATTGCACTATCTGTTACTACTAGAGGCAGTAAATATAGCAGTTAGGAGTATGGGCGCAAAAGCTAGATTGCCTGGGTGTGAGGCCTAGTTCTGCCAGATACTAGCATTTGACCTTATTCATCTACATAATTATAGTCCATACCCCTCGAACCTTTGTGAGATTCAAATGAGTTCATATATCTGAAGTGCTTGGAACAGTTTCTGGCACATAAACAGTGCCATAAAAATATTAGCTATTATTGCAATTATAAAGTTATTTTTATTAGAAGAGTACTTGGCCTTTGGTAATAACTCAATCAATGTTAGCTATTTGGAGGTAGGAAAAAGTCCATAGCTGCAAGCTTGCTCCCAAATCCTTGAGTGAAGGTAGGAGGTTCTTTCTACAAGGAGAATTTCCTGCCAGGCTAATGTTAAGATATAAAAAGTCCCTGGCAGGAGTTCCAAGTGATCCCCGGAAGCATCCCATTGCAGGACTTGAACAAAAGTGTAATTCAGTTTTATGGCTGCACCTATTAACATTAAGTGTTTTTCTTCTTGTAACCTGATAGAAGTGTTGCCGTCAGCAAGGGAAGGGTGTAGCCTACACAGAAGAACTGATTGTGATCGATTGCCCTGAGACATGGTGCTGTGATGCGCCTCCTAGATCCCTCCGCAGGAGTGAGGGACTTACTCCCCCGAGAGAGAACTCTCTTTAGAGACTGCCTCGGCTGAAGACAGCTGCTTTGTTTGAAGTCACACCTCGTTCAAGATCACGCCTCCTAGGGACAGCCCACATCCAGTTACTGATCAATGTAATGTATAAAGGCCAGGACCAAATAAAGAGAAAGAAAAAAAAAACCAAAACAAAAAGCCGGGCGGGGGAGGGGGAGTGCTGGACCTCTTGCTTTAGCTGGGTCCAGTTACTGATCAATGTAATGTATAAAGGCCAGGACCAAATAAAGAGAAAGAAAAAAAAACCAAAACAAAAAGCCGGGCGGGGGAGGGGGAGTGCTGGACCTCTTGCTTTAGCTGGGAACAGCTTTAAGGAGCTGTGTAAACTCCAGAGGTCCAGTGGGTTGGCTGGGGGCTTTGTAGGGACTACTTAGCAGATAAATTTTTTCCTCTGCCCAATCTCACAACCTTCCCCTTCCTTCACAGGTCTTGATCCCAGGAGAACGTCATAATAAACTTCCTGTTCACCAATATCCATCTCAGAGACTACTTTCTGGGGATTCCGACCTATGAAAAACATCCCCAAACTTCTTCCTGCCTCCGAGCTTAGCACTATTAGAGCAGCAATAATCACCAATCACTTTTCCCTATTGTTTTAATATGCATTTTTATAATCACTACTGTGTTGAATATCTTTTCGTTGTTGCCTTTCTTTTGGGGAAGCAGTTCTACAACAATTACGGTACTCACTTCATCATCTCTTTGAGGTTCTCCCACCCCTCTCTGGAGTTCTGGGACACAATTAGCTTGGAGTGCAGATTTTCACATTTAGCTGCAACAGCATCTACTGCTGGGGCTAAAACATCACTGGTAATAATGCACTTTGCTTTTGAAGATTGTAGTCTGTAGAGAATGTCTTTCTGGGTCAGCTGAGTGGTTCCTGGAATGAAAACTGTTCCTAAAGGAGCAAAAAGAGACATTGTTTAGAAAAAAGGGTATTCCTCGTCCTGTTAGTTGGAGTAGTGTAGATAGCACGTGTACATTCTGTACTTCTCTGAATAAGTCGATTTACTAGGGAAGGTGTCTGTCTTACTTCCATTATTATGCTTTTGCCTTTCAAGAGATGTCAAAGTCTATGACCCTTTTGACCTAACATGAAAAAGGTGTTAAATGCTGGATAATTATCCTCTATTTGAAGACCATTCTTAACATTGAGCTCGAAGAGGGTTTTGTTTGAAAAGTAGTATTACCCAACATTTGCTGAGTACTTGAGTGCCAGGCAATATTGTGTTTCACATATTTTAACTCATTCAATCCCCACCACAAAACTGAAAACACAAAAGCTATGAACAACTTGCTCAAGAACACCTAAGTAGCAAGTGGAGTGCAGGGATCGAACCCTGCAGCCTGATTCCAGAGGTATATACTTAACCAGTTCAGTTCAAAAATCCAAAAATGTACGTGATTGTTTTATGGTTTCTTTCCAAAGGGAAGGGTTGAGGCATGCATCTTTTCTGTGTTTCTACTCCTGCCTGCAATATATCACACTGTAAGATGTAATGCAATGGTGAAGAGTGTCCTGGAGCCAGACATTCTTACAGTTTGGCCTCAAACAAGCCACTTTACCTCTGCGAGCTTCAGGTTCTGCCACTGTAAAATGGAGATTATAATAATACTACCTCCCTTATAGGATTATTTGAATGTTAAATTTGAGAGTTAAAACATGTAGAGCTTAGAACAGTACTCAGGAAATTCTATTATTTTCTCAAAGGATGAATGGACTTTCAAGAATATATCTATCTCCTGGGCTTCACCACTCCAGTCCCAGGTCCTCACGAGAGAGGTGGAAGGTATTCACTTCACAATAGTCTGTACTCTTCCCAGGTGACACAGCAGGCAATGAAGATTGAGGTAGACATGCCTGCCGTTCTTGGACTCTTGACCCTGACTCATCTTTTCATTTTGGGAAGGACCGGCCTCTATACTGGAGTTTTTCAGGAAACAGACAAGCAGGACCAGAACACAAGTTTCTTCAAATATCTTTCCTTTCTAATCAGGGCAAGACAACAATTCTATGAGGCTTTAACTCTAAGGTTATCCTTTAGAGATGTTCCACCTAGGGATAATTAGCCTACCTAGGCCTAACGCTTTTACTTAACTTAAAGGCACTCTCTAACAATAAGCCCCCTGCCGGCATTTCATGCCCATAAGAAGCACTTTAGTTAAACACATTACACTTAGATAATTAATTTCTGCCGATACGTAATTCATATCATATCTTTAAAAGAATTAACAGTGATCAATCTTACCTATTAAAACTAGTTTCTGACCAAATAATCAATACTCCTGGGAAGTATTACATAGTTTCTCACCTGGGGGCAAACTGTTACTTTAAATAAAAAATAGTCTTCCAGTATTGCTCTGGAGGGATGTCCAAGTTGATAAATACAATGGATTTATTTATTTGTTCATTCATTTAAAAAATATTTATAAAATTTATTTTTAAATATTTAATAAATTAAAATTGTATTTATATGTATTACTCTGTGGTAGGCAGATATGGTACAGAATAAGAAAGACATAGCCCCTGCCCTCCTGGATCTTACATTCTGGCTGGGGGCAACAGACGGTAAGCACGTGTACAGTATCAGGTGACGATAAGTGTTGTTTAAAAGGCTGGAGAACAATTGCATGGAGCAGAGCTGGCAGAGGAATTGTTTTAGAGAGAGTAGTCAGGAATGGCCTCTCTGAGGAAGATTCCTATTTATGTTTAAGTTTCATGTAAAAAGAAAAAAGTTCCAAACTTCAAGAAATAAACTGTCCGTTTCCGCTGCACAGTTGCTATTTTGCAAGAATGTGCTGGGGTCAGTGCACTTTACCGAAACTGTAGGGGAAATTCAGAGGAAAGCACTGAGAAGCAGCAGAACCAGCACAGGGCTGGCCACCGGGGCTCCGAGGTACTTGGTTTGTTTGTTTCTTTAATCAAGATGTGACCATAGCCAAGGTGCTGAATCCTTCTGGACCTCTCTTTCCTCGTCCATGGGAGAATTCATTCCTTGACACTCAAAGGGTGGTCCCTGGACCAGCAGCATCGACACCACCTGGGAGCTCATTAGAATTATAGAATCTCAGGTCCCACCCAGGCTTATTGGATTAGACATTGCATTTTAACAAGATCCCCAAGTGATTCATATGCACATGAAACTTTGAGAAGAAATGAACTAAATGATTTTTAAGAATCATTTGTATTTCGAAATTTTGTGAAAATCCTAGAAATATTGGAGAATGCACTGGGCTCCAGTAATGACTTGCTGAGTAACCTCAGACAAGTGACTTGATGTTCCTTTCTCCATCTATGAAGTTTTGGCTTCCCCATTTATAAAATGAGGCTTCTCTTTTTCTCATCATAAGGCTCATGTGAAGGTGAAACAAGCAGATGAGTAAATATTCATTTTAAAGCTGGAGTAACCACATACATCATAGAAACCTCCCCAAGATCTGGGACTGAGTTTGCATGTTGCACTAGTTTTTTTGTTGTAAATATTTCCTAAAGGAAGGGACACATTGGGAATTAGTACTTTTAAATAATTATATACTGAGATTTTTGTTGTAATGGGATTTGGCCTATAACACATAGAAAAGAGTTTGAAAATTAAAGTGTGCTATGAGAGTTTGGTATTGGGACAGATCTCTCTGAGAATTGGAAATGAAATAGATTGCCTTCCAAGAGCTAAATTATACACTCAATATAAAATAGATCAGAACAGAGATATACAAAGTCACTTTAAACAGATATAATGGTTCACAAAGTAGCAAGACTAAACTGTACCCCAATATGATACGTTAACATAGAATTGGTCTCAGAAGAGGGTATTGCAACCGCAAAACATAGAAAAAGGAGATTTACTGGAGCAAATTGTGACAGTACCCATCCAAGTCTGTCTAGGGACAAGTCTCTGTTAGGAGATTGCATATATTATGGTCCCTTGGATGAGGTGGCCCTTAGCCAGTACCCACATTTACACTGGCCTGTTTTCATTTTCTCAAACCTACAAGTTATTTCCTGCCTCAGGATCTTTGCACATGCTTTTCCATTTGACTTTTCTAATTTCAAGATGGAAAAGTCAAATGGACTTTCTTCCACTGGCCTACTCCTCCCTCAAGTCTCAACTTAATACTTTTCTGATTTTCAGTCTATAGCAGTACCCCTCCTATACACTGATGGCTCTGGTCACAGTTGTCACATTTACCACACTATGCATTTATTTAATTCATGACTCTCTCTCCCACCGGATCCTAAACCCCACGGCTCCTGAAACATAGTAGGTACTCAGGCATGGAGAAATGGATGGGTGTAGAGGGATGGGTAGATGAGTGGGACTTTCAAATCCTGGTGCAAATAAATTAAATTATGAAAATTACTTCTTCTGAGCCCACATACACTAAACAAACTTTTGGCTAAGTTTTGTCTTCTCATGTAATTCTGTTAACAGAGAGAGGGGGGCGGCTATTCATGCCAGAGTTTTTGGCTATTCATGCAAATGAATAAATTGGTGGTGTTTTGTACACTATATATCATAAACATGGAAATGAGAGTCCCCCTAACCCCTGCCTGGAGATTCAGAGCTCTACTCTCCAGGCACTGACTTAAGGAGGTTTCTGACCTACTAGGCAAGTGGCCAGATCTGGTCAATTTGCCAAGGTCTTTTCATCCTATGAGACCTCCAGTAAAATACAGGCTTACTTCCTCTAGCTCAGTGGTTTTCAAACCTCAACTTGCATCAGAATTCCTGTAAGGTTTGTTAAAACAGAGTTCTGGGCCTCACCCCAGAGTTTTGGATTCAGCAAATCTTGGGTGGGGCTGCAGAGTTTATGTTTCTGAGAAGTTTAGTGGTGCTGATGCTGCTGGTCCAGGTGCACACTTTGAGAACTACAGTTCAGCATTACTCTTCTGCAGTGCTGTGTACCTTCCCTTTGTTGAAAGCATATTAAAACTCACCCCAATACTCTCTGATTTAGTAATGCATTTCCAAACATTTTAAGATTCTTCAAAAGGCACCTTTAAATGTACTTTTTAAAAAATGCGAAATATACCAAACATGCAACAAAATGTATGCAGTGTATATGTACAATTTCCTTAAAAAAATATGAAAATAAGCATTATATACCAATCGTCTTAGGAAACAGAATTTAACAATATGTTTGTCCTGCTCCAAATCTCTCTCTCCGCCTCCCTACCACCCCCAGGTAGCCATTAACCAGAATGTTGTGTTAACCATTCCTTTGTCTTTATATTATCATTTATGTATATAACACGAAGTAATATATGAGCAACTGAAGTCCTAGTCAATTAGGATTTCAATTTTCAATTAGCCAATGTTTATTAAGAGGGAAAAATTATTAGGAAATCAAATAACTATGACCTCACATCTAATTCTGCCATGAAGACTGGCATTGTTACATTAGATTTACCACCCATCACTTCTCTCTTGTTTTCCCTTCTAAGAGAATCTGCCTTCCGTCCTGCCCACAACCCTGGTAACCATGTTTGTATCAGATGAAGCTGCCTCTGATCGGCTCATCAGACTCTGTCTCAATTATTTGACTTAAGAAACTGACTGAATTAGTAGTTCGGTCATACAGGGTTACAGCCTGAGCTATCAGTATGGCAAACCAAAACCATGCCCCAGCCAAAATGGAGGGGAGCAGAGAAACCATGTGTTATCAGACAGAAGGAGTCAAAGGAGCAGACACATGGGAAAGACAAAGACAGAAGTCCTGTGGCTTCAGAGCAAGAGAAATAGAGAAAGAAGCTGCCAGCTGAATAGTCTATTTCCTTGCAGAAGCCCAGCTGTTCTTTCTGTACTTTTTTTTTTTTTGAACTAATATGAATGGATATTTGGTCCTGGCAATCAAATAGTCCTTTAAGCAGCATTCATAAAAGCAATCATTTTGTTAAAAAAATGCTTACAAATGGGCTCTGTTACTTCAGTGTATAATTCTTATGTACATAGGAAATGGAATATATTACCTCTCCTCAAGTGGAAGTAATGATTGTAATAAATTAAGAAAGGTTACTCAATATAATGATTTATTGTGACAATAGGAATATTAATTAATTCAATAAATATTTTACTGAACATTTACTATGTGCCAATCACTGGGGATGCAGAGATGAATATATCATAGTCATGGCCATTTAGGAGCTTATCATCATATGGGAATGACAGATTTATAAGCAAATAGTATACCCAGACAATAGTACCTTTGGAGAGCTCAAAGAGAGTACTTGGGTTGGGACTTCAGGATGGGGTTGTCTGAGAAGATAACATTAGAGCTGAGACTTGAAAGTCTGGTAGAGTTGTCCAGGTTGTTAGGTGTGAGGGAAAGGCTTTCCAAGCATAGGAAACAGTGTACCAAAAAGCCAGGAGATGGGAATGATTACAAACCTTACAGGAAACCATTTGGCATGTCTGGAACATGAAGGGTAAGGGTGGAGAAATTAGAACAGAGGGAAAATGGCTACAGCCTTTTATGACGCACCTAAAGAAGTTCGGATCTTACCTGGTATGCAATGGAGCATTTTTTGTTTGTTGGTTTGTTTAAATTTTTACTTACTTATTTTTATTGAAATGTAATTGATAATACTTATGTGTCAGGTACAGAGTTGAATATCAATACCTGTGTACAATGTGTGATCAAATCAGAATAATTAGCATATTCCTCATTACAAAGCATAATCAGTTCTTTGTGCTGAGGACATTTGATCTCCTCTCTTCTAGCCATTTAATAACATACAGTAAATTAATGTTAATGGAGCATTATTAGATAATGTCAAAGAGCAAAATGACAGGATAAAATATGTGTTCTAGCAAAAACACTGGCTAGGGAGGACGAATTGAATTGGGGTGTGGTGTGAGCACACCCAAGGCCAGAATTAGTGAGACTTTTGGGGAAATCCATTCAAGAGATAGCAAAGATGTAAAGTAAGGTAATGGCAATGGAATTAAAGAAGGGGGGCTCTGGGGCATGTAGGAGGTCAAATTTATGAGATGTAGAAACTCATTAGGAAGGAGTCACAGGTGGCTGGCTTAGCGCACCAGATGGATGTAATTAACCATGAGTGGAATAAAGGTGTGAAAAAAGAACTGGGTGGCTTCTTTGAGTTTGTGGGTGTACTGAGTTTCAGATAACTATGGGTCCTATTTGAGAGGGAGAATAGCTATGAGGGTATTTAATTGTTGATTGGTATTCACTTAATAAATCTATGTCATTATTAAAAACCCAACTTCTAGTTTAGATCAAAGGGTATGGCGTATTTCTAACACATTTCTAAGGTCCTTGAGAATAATACTATATGGTTTACAGTTCTTCTTCAAATAATATACCCAAATAAATGTCTCATGATTACTTAGATGTTTTAGAAAATCTCTCATCCAGCTCAGTTTAAATGTGATCAAATTGCAAACATTACTAACCTGTTCGCAGACAGGCCACATTTGCAAGCCACCACTCTGGGATCCTGGGCAGAATCACAATTACTCGATCTCCCTTTTGCAGGGCACAGGCTTCTGTAAGTATATTGGCAAATTTCCTGGACAAAGATCCCAATTCCTCAAAACTCCACCTCACCTCTTCTCCACATCCATTTATCCACCAGAAGGCTGGATTAGAAGGTCTCTTTCCAGCCTAAGGAAAGACAAATCAGTCATGGATTTAAAGGTTGTTATACAGTTAAATTCCATTTTGACTGACTTTATGGAATATATTCTCTGAAGAAAATTTACACGTCACTAGTTAGAACATACATTGAGTATATGGAAACAACTCCTGAGGTCCTTATTTCTAGATGTTGGGAGTCATGTCATCTCTTCTGGCCCATGTCATTTCTCATTTAGCTTGATTGTTTTCCTTCCAAAAAGTTAGAAGTTTTGCATCTCTTTTTATTTCTCTCAACATTGTATCTGTGCCTCATGCCCTACTATTTCTGACTATTAGAATTGCTTTTCACTCCACTCCTTTTTATTAAAAAAAATCAGCCTAGAATCACACACTTATGTAACCCAGATGTTCTCATCCAACCATAGAACTATTGGCACTTTGGGCCAGATAATTCTTTGTTCTGGGGGCCTGTCCTATGCATTATGGGATACAGTATTTAGCAGCATCCCTGTCCTCTACCCTTTAGAAGCCAGTAGCATCCCCCTGCCTCTCCCGTCATGGCAACAAATGTCTCCAGAGAATGGCAAATGTCCCTCCTAGATGAGAAGTTGTAGTCTGACTGGCCCTTGCTCCATACCTTTTCCATACTGGTCCATTGGTCCAGGACATCTTTAGCAAAGTTGAAATACTCTGGAATCTCCAGTTTAAAGTCCTGTTTCATGGATTCATAGTTGGAGAAATTCTGAGGGGTTGCTGTTCTATAATCTTTATGTAATGCTCTGATAGAACCAGGACTTGCTAGGCGCTGAAAACACTTGGCGCGAAGTAATATCTCCATGGTAACAAGAGATAGCATCAGTCTTGTTGGATGTTTCAGGACTCAGGATTTCCACGGAGACCAATCCATCTAAAAGACAAGCAAAGAGGACATGTATTTGTTTCTGTCCTGAAGGTAGCCATACCCCAAAGCAGCTAAATATTATTATTAATAATCATTATAATAGTAGCATTTTATGAGTACTCTCTGTGTTCCAAATACTGTACTCAGCGTTTTACATACATTTGTCATTAAAGCCCCAGAGTAACCCTGTGAAGGAGATACAGTCATCATCTCTGTTTACAGATGGAGAAAATGACTAATAAGAGGCATTGGCTGGATCTGAGCCTAGAACTATCTGGTCCCAGCACATTCAACTGACTGTTGTGCAGTTATATATACATTCCTAAAGAAGTAAAGACTGGGGTCACCCAGTTAACCTGACTGAAAGCAAAGGGCTAAGCCTTATTATCTAATATCACCTATGGATTTCAAAAGTAATGCAGAAATGTTAAGGAGAATTTTTCACAGTGGATTAGCTACAGATGAAGAAACTGAGAGTAGCCCAGTATGAATTAGGCATGAAACCACTATCAAAGTTTATAAACTGTTTAGTTTATAGGCTGCAGTTCCCATGCTCCCAGTAGGAGCCCACACTACCTTCAAGTTCAGGCTTGGAGTTGCATTTACTGGAGATGTAATAATAGGGATTTAACCTTTAGGACTTTTGTGGGGGAGGCCCCTCTGGGCTCTCTAGGCCTCCCTGGTTCTGTGGGAAATCATTTGATCACCATGTCACTTACTTGGCTGAGGCTATTAAAATTATAGCTCTAGGGATTATGAATGTTTAAGGTTCCCCTCTTCATACTTCTCATAATTTTCCAAATTTCCCACAGTGAAACAGGTTCTACTCTCATAATCATTAAATCATCATTTTGACTGCAGTTCCAGCTATGGGGCACGTAAGGTAGCTTGGCTATGTGGAAACATTTCAGTATTGATAAATTGCCAAAACAATGCATAATAACAGATGTCAGCTAAGTTTTACTCTAAATGGACCTGGTGTCTGGGCATCATGTTGATGTAACCAATGCATGGTGACATGTGGGTTCTTCTTCTGACCCTCCCACCTATTTGTGTGAGGGTCTGACAAGTCAGTGATCTTGAGCCCTCTGAGGTCATCTTGAGCCTCCTCATTTTTCACCTACAAAAAAACTGGAGCCCAAGAGAGGGGAAGCAACTTGCTTCAATATGTCATATCAGACTTAGAACTAGAACTTCAGTCTTTGGATTCCCATTTGAATATTTTTACTACAGTTCAATGGGATTTCCATACAGGAGTGATTCTCAACCCTGGCTGTACATTTGAATCACCAGAAAAGCTTTTTTAAAAATTCTGACCTGAAAAGAAAAAAAATTTTTTTTGACCAGGCTGTTGGGTTAACTCAGTTAGAACATGTTGCTGATAACACTAAGGTCCAAGGTTCCATCCCTGTGCTGGCCAGCTGCCACACCCCCCAAAAAGAAAATTCTGATGTCTAGGTCTTGGACCATTTAAATCAGAACTTCTGGGAATGGGTCCTGGGCATCATATTTTTAAAAATTTCCTCAGAGGATTCTAATGTACAGCCAAGTTTGAGAATCACTGATCTAGAGGTGGTGATCTGTGAACCAGCAGCATCAGCATCACCTGGAAGCTTGTCAGAAATGCACATTATCAGGCCCCACTGCAGACCTATTGAATTCATGGATTTTAACATTTTAACAAGATCCCCGGTGATAGTATACATTTAGGTGTGAGAAGCACTGGTCCATAGTGTGATGGCTAGGTACATCAGCTGTTGAATTGTACAGTCATGGGTAGGGTCCCAGTATGGCCACTTATGAACCATGTGACCTTGTTTGAATTATTAACAACTCTGAATCTTAGTTTTACATTTTATCAATGAAGAGGCTAATAGAACCTGTCAAGAGAGTTGTCCCAAAAGTTGAATGTGATAATGCATGCAAAATGCTTATCATGGTGCCTAGCGTATGACTCTCCACTAGAACAGAGCTCAGCAAACTTTTTCTGTAAAGGGCTAGATAGTAAAATACTTTAAGCTTTGTGGGCCATAAGGTCTCTGTTGCAGCTACTTAACTCTGCCATTCAGATAACAGCCATCAACAATACACAAATAAATGAGCATGGTTGTGTTACAAAAAAGCCCTTTTTAATGGATACTGAGACTTCAATTTCATGTGTCATGAATTATTTTTCCTCTTTTGATTTTTTTCAACCATTTACAAGTGTAAAAACTATTCTTAGTTCTCAGGCTGTACAAAAACAGGCAGAAGGCTAGATTTAGCTCATGGGCTATACAGTTTGCTGATCTTTGCACTAGAATGTATGTTTTATGAAGGGAGGAGCCTTGTCTGTTACATTCATGCTACTATCCCTGGGAATTACAATAGCATTTGGTCCATAGTGGGTGCTTAATAAATATTTGTTGAATGAATAAATAACTTTTCTTTTTTTTTTTTTTTAAAGATGACCGGTAAGGGGATCTTAACCCTTGACTTGGTGTTGTCAGCACCATGCTCTCCCAAGTGAGCCACGGGCAGGTCCAGAATAAATAACTTTTTCAGAAGCGAGAACTTATACACAGTTTATTTCAGCAACTCAGGATTATACTCATAATAGACCAGAGAAGTGCCTCTACGACTTTAACCAGATTTATGTGACTGCCTGCACTGTCCACATGTGGCAGTTTATTTAAATTAATTTAAATAAAATTTAAAAATCAGTTCTTCAGTCACACTAAGTACATTTCAAGTGCTTAATGTCACATGTGGCTAGTGGCTACCGTATATAGGTAAGTGCAGACATAAAGCATTTCTATTGTTGCAGAAAATGCCCTCGGACAGTGCTGATCTATATTGATAATAGCTTTATTAGATTGATGTGAAACATTAAAGTACAGGAAAATTGAGAGTGAAGTTTCCCCAAATAAGACTTTTCTAAGGGCCCAGGTCTGGTGAAGTGCTGCCCATCAGTGTCCTCTCGCCCGAAGGCCATGGGGGAAAAACACTAACAGAAGTTTTTTGGCAGGCTTTGGGAGTAAAGGCTGCCCTTCAGAACAAAAATAGAATCGCTCTGAGGCCCGGTTTCCCTGTGAGTTAAGTCCCCAAGTTCTCAAAGCTCTTCTGTTCGGCACCGGGGTTGGGTCCCTGATGTTTGCTGGTGAGTTACAGCCTGTGCCTTCAGCTGCTGTCTCTCTTCTTAACAGAATTAGCATCAAGTTTTCTTCAACTGAAGGAAGAAGTTAGGGAACCAACACTACGTTTTTAGATAAAACTTCTCTGTCTTTAATTTTTGCAAACTACCTTCAAATGATTCAAAAAACATAGAAGGTATACAGTGAAAAACTTGCCTCCCAACCCAGTCCCCATGCTGCCCAGATTCATCGCACCCCCACCCCCCAGGGGACCACTATTATTATTCTCTATGTATCTTTTCCAGGTTTCTTTACAACTTGCCTCCCAACCCAGTCCCCATGCTGCCCAGATTCATCGCACCCCCACCCCCCAGGGGCCACTATTATTATTCTCTATGTATCTTTTCCAGGTTTCTTTATGTGGTTCAAGCAAACACAACTATAGATTCTTATTTCTCCACCACTTTTACACAATAGGTAGCCTAGAATACACACTATTCTACCCATTAAAAACATTCTTAACAATATATTTTTGGAGATCTTTCCATATTAGTACACAGAGATCTTCATTCTGTTTTTTTTTTTTTTTTTTTAACATCTGCATGGCATTCCAGTGAACTGCACCATAATTTCTTAAACCACTCCCCTATCAACAATCACCTGAGTTATTTGTATCATTTTCTAATTTAGATGAAATTTTGAAACTATTTCCTTCAAAAGGAGTGTCCTGACTCTCTTACTTGCATGTAAAAACAAATAATATTTTTAAATGGTTAAGAAGTATAAGAAAAGATTTCTGATTCTATTATTTCTCTTTTTCTAAAATAAGAGGCAGGAATTTGGACTGGTTAGAACAAATATCTTGGGGCCTTGCACTTTATTCTTGGTAGTCTGGCGTGGTTCATTTATTTATTCAACAAATATTGATTGAGCGCTCACCATGAATTGTTTCAAACATAGAGGAAATAGGGGTGAATGAAAGAGAAAAGGTCCTTCTTGCTTTCATGGAAAGACACATATATTAACAAGACAACAAATAAATGTAATGTTACACAAAAAAGCAAAGAGCGTAATGGAAGAAAAGAGGTTCTTTTAGGAGCTCTTTAAACATTTTTGCTGAGATCTGGCAAGTGGCTGCACTGTGCTAAGCATTTGGTATTCATTTATTATGATTTCCATTTTACAGACAAGGAAACACACACAAATGCACATACATATCCAAACTGGACAATGTATTCATTCATTCACCAGATACTTACTTAGCATTTACTATGTGTCAGACCTATACTAAAAGCTGAAGTACAGCTATGAACAAGACACAGCTGGTCCTATCCCCATGAAGCTTATAGACTATTAAGGATGACATTAAACAATTATGCAACTATTAATATCACTGGGGATACATACACTATACTCAGCTCGCTGAGACTGAGTAAAATCAGAATTAGGTATAATTTCTTCCCTATCCCCCATATAAAACTCTTTGCCACATTCACAGTTCTTCAAATCTATGTTGAAAAGAAAATTGATCAGTCGTTTGGAGCTTAAAACAAACCTAACCATCTGTTCTACCAAGAAGAAAATGTCAACATCTTCCTCATCAAAACCGTAAGATTGCCTTCTCCCCAACAAAGTTCTGTTCCTGCATTTTAACTGATCTTAGTATTTTACAATTTCCATTTTTCAGATTTGTAAAATTCTTTGTAGGTGAAAGAACTGAGATAACTTTCCCAGTGTGAGTCCAGATTTTTATTTTTATTTTTTATTTAAAAGACGACCGGTAAGGGGATCTTAACCCTTGACTTGGTGTTGTCAGCACCACACTCTCCCGAGTGAGCCGCGGCCTGGTCTGAGTACAGATTTTTATACTGAGCCACAGAAACATTGCTAAGGAGAACTCCTCTAAGAAAGACATTACCTCTGCTGGTAAGATGGGTTTATCAAATCTGTAAGGTCTCATCTGAAATACAAGTTCTTTGTCCATATAAACGGGGTGGGGAGGTGGGGTTAGGTGAGGGGGCTTTAGCCTCACACATCAAAATAAACACCCTCCTCCTAAGTAATTCAAGTAATAACCTTGGTTTGGCATATATAGCCTCAGCAAGGTAAAGCCCCTCCTTACTCTCCAACCCCAGCAAGACCTTGCCTTAAACCTCTTCTATATCGAGCTTTTGGAGCTGCCCTTGACCAACTAATGGAGAAAAGTGGCTGTCCCAGGTTATTTTCTTAGGTTTGCCTCTGTATTTTTCCCAAAGTTTCTTAGAGGCAGTTTGCATACTTTCTGGATGATGCAGCAGATGAATTCACATCTGCCACTGAGCAGGGTAGGGAGCTAAGTAGACAGTATAGTGAAAAACTCAGCTACTACTTAGACTCAATTAAGTTATTTTCTAAAACATTTTATCAAGTTAACACATGCACATTGTTTTTTTAAAAAATCAAATAGTACCAAAAAGCTTAACACGAAAACTCACTGCTATATTTATAGCCTTTTGTATGTGCATAGTCCTCATCACTTGCTAAATAGTATCATGTAACAACTAAGAAACTCTGAGAGAAACACTTTGTCTGCCAAAGACTTCAGTGTGAATTTTTTTTGTTTGTTTGTTTGGTCACTGGCCAGTATGGAGATCCAAACTCTTGACATTGGTGTTATAACACCTCATGCTAACCGAGTAACCAACCAGCCCCCAGTGAGAGCATTTTTGAGTTGTTGGTTTTGTTCATTTGTTATCTTTGCTCAAAAAAGCATGTGCCAGCACAGCAAATCTTACCCTGGAGAGAGAGGAGATGAGGTACTCACTAAAGTTACAGATTCCAAGACAGCTGGAGATGATGACAGACCTGTTTCCTAGGAGAGCAGTCCTGAAACTTGAGTTCTCACATCTGCGTGAGTCTTGGTAGCAGCCAGAGAAGAGGGAGAAGTAATCTGACAATTGGAAGGAGTGAGACTTGCCCAGGGCACCTTTCCTTGATTGGTGGAGACATTCTGGAGGGAGGAGCAGGAACTCTGGGCTAAATTACACAAAAGTTTACACAATACCTGGCGGTTCCTCTTAGGGAAACGATTTATGTACACTGCAAGCTTCTGGGGGGCTGAGAAAGCAATTTGTTCACAGGAAGGGAAGTTTCCAAGGAGTTGCTGGAAGGGTTAGTCCTGTGAAAGGGCAGAGGAAGCTCTCAGTAGGAGGAAAGAACAGACGGAGGAAGGCATATTGGAGGTTTTGACATAGAAAAGAAATTGAGGGGAGGGTATGAGTTGCTGTGTTAATCTGTTGGACTACTTGTTACTAAACAAGAATGCTATAAGGTCACTCCTCTGCTCCAGTCCTTCAGTGCTTCTCAGCTCACTCCAGGTAAATTCAAAGTCCTTACATGGACTACAAGGAGCTGTGTGATCTGGCACAGGGTCTCCTCTGGCCCACAGCCCACTCCTCCTCCTCTGCCTCACTCTGCAGCCACACCAGCTGCCTTGCATCTTCTCAGACATGCCACGCTGTCCCAGCCTTGGCTCTTGGAACACACAGTTCCCCTGCCTGGAACTCTCCCTTCAGATACCCCTGGACCAAGTCCCTCATTTTATGAGGTGTCCTATCAGAGGCCTCCCCTTACCACATTTTCTAAAACAGTCCTCATGTTTTCCTCTTTAATGTCTTTTAACTTTTTACATCTTTCACCACCACCCTTGAGAGTAAGAATTTTGTTTTGTTTGCTGGTGTGTTGCTATTACCTAAAGCAGCTGCTGGCAAATTTAGGCACTTAATAAATATTTGATGGGTATACGAATAAATAAATGACTCTTTCAATTACCTGTGACAGAAACCCAACTCAAGTTCACTTGAACAAAGGAAATTATTGGCCATTTTTTAGTTCTAGGAGTTTTTGTTTTTGAGTCCTTGGGAATTTCTTTGTAGAAAATCACATTATCTGCAAATAGGGACAGTTTACTTCTTCCTTTCAGGTCTATATGCCTTTTATCTCCATTTCCCGCCTTACTGCCCTTGAGACAGGATAGAGCGAGGCCTGTGATCCACACTGACTCCATCTTCCTTGCGGAGGACACTGTTACTTTTCCACTCCTCAGTCTTGAGATCACCCCTCCATCCCCCAGCAGGATGTATGATTATCCCATGGCCCGCCCTGATAAAATAAACGAGATCAGAGGGGGACAGATATTCACTGAATTACAAAACCCCTCCTTAAGGCTTGTTGCCTGTAATTGTAAAAATTAAGTTACAGATTAACCTTAAGACCCCTTTAGGAATTACTACGTGCACACAAAGCTTCAAGGAGACTGTTTCAATGACCCTCCTGGGGTGACGATAATGAACACCACCACCATCTTGGACATACTGAGCAGGTGCAGGGACCAAAGCCCTAACTGGGTATGCACCCATGATGCAACCAGGAAGAACAGAATGGACCACTTCCAGAGATGCAGAATGATGATGCTGGCCTGCACCCCTTAACCACTTTCCCTATAAAGGACTCTGAACAGCTCCCCTTGGGGAGCTAGCTTTCCTATAGCTATCCCCCTTATGCATAAGTCTATCTCCTCTTTTAATAAAGCATTCCTTGCTTTACTGCTGGGTGCACTGTTCACTTCTATGACTTTGGGACCCAAGAGCCTAATTCAGTAACACACTGGCTAGAATGTCCAGCACTATGTTGAATAAGAGTAGTGAGAGCAGACATCCTTGCCTTGTTCCCAATATTACAGGGAAAGCATTCAGTCTTTCGTGGTTAGGTACAATGTTAGCTGTAGGTTTTTGTAGATGTTCTTTATTAAGTTGAGAAATTTCTCCCCTATTCCTGTTTTTTCTGAGAGTATTTATCATGAATAGGTGTTGAATTTTGGCAAAATTTTTTCTGCATCAATTAATATAATCATGTGATTTTTCTTCTCTAGCCTGATAATAAGGTGAACTATATTGATTCTTTGATAATGAACTGGCCTTGCTTCCCTGGAATGTACCCCACTTGATCTTGGTGTATAATTCTTTTTATATATTGCTGAATTCTACAGTTTATGTCTCTTGCCAAATTTGAGAAGTTTTTAGCCATTATTTCTTGGAGTAATTTTTTAACCTCCACATTAGATCTTTTGTGATAGTCCCACAGGTCTCTGAGGCTCTGTTTTTTTCTTTTCTTCCCGTTCTGATTTCTCTCTGTTCAGATTGGCTAATTTCTATTGTTCTATTTTCCAGTTCATGGTTTTTTTCTTCTTTTCCTTCCATTCTGATGTTGAACCCCTTATCAGAGATAGGAAAAAAACTGAAGTGTTTTTCTTACTCTCACATACCACTCAAAACAATACTTCTGACACCAGATGTGTGGGGGGCTTTCCCCACACACCAAGCAATTCTCCAGCAGACACTAACTGGGCGTCTTATACTTCGGTTCGACACTATCTACCTGGAGATAGTGTTAGATCCCACAGGTTAAGGGCTCAGTCCTACAAGACTTCTTTCTTCCCACTTAGGTGCCAATCACAAGTCTCAGGTGGTGATGTGTACTTCTGACCAACCAGCTATAAATCAGAGTTCCCATAACCCCCTTCTTGGGTTTGATTAATTTGCTAGAATGGCTCACAGAACAAAGGGAAACACTTTACTGATATCTACCCATTTATTATAACAGATATTACAAAGGATACAGATGAACAGTCAGATGGAAGAGATGCACAGGGTGAGGTACAGAAGAAGGGGTGTAAAGCTTCCATGAGCTGTCTGGGCTCACCACCCTCTAAGACCCTCCATGTGTTCAGCTATCTGGAAGCTCTCTGAACCCTGTCATTTGAGTTTTTAATGGAGGCTTCATTGTGCAGGCATAATTGATTAAATCATTGGCCACTGCTGATCAACACAACCTTCAGCGCCTCCCCCCTCCAAGGAGGTCAGGGGGTGGACTGAAAATTCCAATACTTTAATCACATTATTGATTCCCCTGGCAACCAGCCCCCATCCCAAGGCTAACCAGGAGTCCATAGCCACCAATCACATCATTAGCATACACAAGACATTTGTCACTTAAAAGATTCCAAGAGTTTTAGGAGCTGTGTGCCAGGAAATGGGGATAAAGGCCAAATATATATTTCAAGATATCATGTCCATTCACTGAGCTTTTTATTTGTCTTATTGAATGTTTTAGTTCTAAAATTTTCATTCAGTTCTTCTTGATATCTTTTTTTTGTTGTTGAGACTTCATTTTTTCATTTGTTTTGTCAAAAGAAGAAAATTACAACAAATTTAGTTGAAGATTTCAATTGATTTTATTGTGATTCTAGAATCACACAACATGTTATTTTATAAAATAAAGTAAGTGTTCCAATGAGCTGAGCAAAAAGGCTTGATTTCATAGAAAAGGGCTGAAGAAAGCAGAAATAACAAAAGAATGGATTGGTCATTTCAAAGTTACTTTCCCTGGGCCGGCCTGTGGCTCACTCGGGAGAGTGCAGTGCTGATAACACCAGGGCCACGGGTTCGGATCCCATATAGGGATGGCCGGTTAGCTCACTGGGTGAGCGTGGTGCTGACAACACCAAGTCAAGGGTTAAGATCCCCTTACCGGTCATCTTTAAAAAAAAAAAAAAAACAAAGTTACTTTCCTTGTAAAATAGGGAAAGGAAGACAAAAAACTGACTAACATCAAATTAGTTCAGGCTATATCTTTTGTGTAAAGATTAAACTTCATTATCATACCAACTGAAGATTTAAACTTGGCTGTTATCTCTCCCTCCTGATTTCAGAGAAGGTCAGATAATTAGCTTTACTTTGGTGACTGGAAATTTAGGAGGGGTGACTCCATTTTGCTTTTTAGTCTGGTCTGTTGGGGCCTAGTCTAAGAGCTTAGTCTAAAACAATGGCCTCCTATACTCTTTATTTAACAGTTTCAAGCATATTTGTAATTGCTCGTTGAAATCTTTTTATCATGGCTACACTAAAATCTTTTGTCAGATAATTCTAACATCTCTGTCTTATCAGTATTGGCATCTATTGATTGTATTTCTTTATTCAGGTTGAGATCTTCCGGGTTCTTGGGATGAAGAGTGATTTTCAATTGAAACATGGCCATTTTTGTATTATGTAATGAGACTGGATCTTATTTAAACCTTGTGTGATAGCTGGCTTTCTTTGACACTGTTCTGGTGGCGGGGGGGTGGAGGGGTGGTAGGTGGGGGAGGAACCACTTCATTATTGCCTGAGTCTACGTTCTCCACTTTGTTGGAGTGAGCAAGACTGAAGCCACGTTGGGACCTAAAACTGCATGGGCTGTAGACAAATTTTAAAAGGACACAGTTTTTTCCTTGGCATGCATTTCTCTGAGTTTCCTCTTTTCCCATGGTTACTTGATATTCTGAACCTTGATTATGGGGCAAGATGACATATACATGAACGTAAAGTCTAAAAGGACACAGTTTTTTCCTTGGCATGCATTTCTCTGAGTTCCCTCTTTTCCCATGGTTACTTGATATTCTGAACCTTGATTATGGGGCAAGATGACATATACATGAACGTAAAGTTGTTTTCCAGCCAGCCTGAAGCTGCAAACTTGCAGACCCTGGGAAACCAAAGAAGTCATCAATAAAGCTATGCTGATTCCACGCCCCTGGCAGGACCCTGAGATAACAGCAAAGACAAAGCAGAAACCAGACTGAGTCTTGGTGAGACTTTGCACCTGAGACCTTGCATGAAACCCTTGCGTCTCACGTCCCCTCCCTCTTCCTTTTCATTTCCCATGTTCCATTCCCTCGGTCCCTTCTTTAAAAACCCCTCAGTAAATCTGAGTCTTGGAGATGGGTTTAGTCCAGCCATTCTCCTTCAGGTTTACCAGAGACATGGGTTAGCCTAACATCTCTCATCCGATCACTGGTATTCCT